ATAATTGTTATCAATAACATCGCAGTGCTTCGGTGCTCAAAATCTAACAAATAAAAACAACAAAGTCTGCCATAACTGTTCAAAGATGCACAGGTTTCGTATGTAGATGCGTAAATGTGAAGAATACTAGCCGAGGAGGGATCGAACCCCCGCCACTCTCAGTCCCGAATATGTAGGGTCGCGCTACTTATCTTCAGCCCCGTTATTGTGACTTATCCTTCGTAAATGGATAACAGAAAATAAAATAACGTATAAAAGTCAAGGATAACAGGCAACAGCTTATCAATATTAGCTAGGAATAAAATGATAACAGCTAAGACAAGTTTAGTGATGAATAACGTGTTGATTTGTTCAATAAAGTGTTGATTTGTTCAATAAAGTGTTGATTTGTTCAATAAAGTGTTGATTTGTTCAATAAAGTGTTGATTTACACAAAAGCGTTCAAGTCATTTCTTGCTTAATTTTTCTTTCATGATTTAATATTTTCACATTATTGAGCACGCGTTAATTTCTTCGTTATTTACATACTTAAGAATATATGTATAAAATATACAAATATATATATAACCGATAAGAATATATGAATAAAAGATAAGAATATATGTATAAAAGATAAGAATATATGTATAAACGATAAGAATATATGTATAAAAGATAAGAATATATGTATAAAAGATAAGAATATATGTATAAACGATAAGAATATATGTATAAAAGATAAGAATATATGTATAAAAGATAAGAATATATGTATCAAAGGTAAACCACAATAAAATTCGTATGATCAAAGCTGACATTTCCGGTTCAAAGGTTCTATCGTTGCCGGTTCAATTATGTCCCTCGTCTCCGATTCAAGAATCTTCTTTAATCTGATATACAACAGCTTATATAATACACTTACGATTCCTACCGTAACTGATCAAGGGATTAACTGCAACTAATTCAGAGATTCTTCCGTAACCGTGTCAAAGTCCTTTCCGTAACGGATCAAAGACTCCGTTCTTAACCGATCAAAAACCGTCGAAGTGGTTGGGCACCATTCCTTCCCCGCGTTCCGTCCCAAATCTTTATCCAGATCCCTTCCAAGTGCTATATATTAGCTATCAGGGGGCGCTTTCCCCCCTGATAGCTCCCTTCCCTTCTTCCGGAACCAATCAGAGGCCCCTTCCGTAGCCGACTAGGTGTTAACCAATCAGTGCATGCGGCTATTTATGCTAGCTGTTATTGTTGTTTTAGTTCGAAATACGCATGTAGCACGGTCTATGGCGAGCCCGTAACCTAAGCGCTTCATCTACATATTATAGCTTCCAAGATCCTTACACCAGCGAACATTCCGCCGTTTATAGTTAACTAATTTCGTAGTCGGAAGTCAGTGTAATGGGCTCTATTATGTGCCCAATTTTCTATTTTCCTACTTCGGGTTTCCCTTATTGTCACAGTTTCTGTACAAGCTGTTGTATTTTCTTTAGATTTATTTTCGTTGAATTTTTTAAGTACTGTGTTAACTGTACTCTGGGTAAATACTTTTGCTAGTCTGTCTACCTCTGGTAATGTCCAACCACTTGGGCTGGATGGTAGAGTGACGGTCTCGCTTCACCCAGGCCGGCGTTCAATCCCCGACCGTCCAAGTGGTTGGGCACCATTCCTTCTCCCCCGTCCCATCCCAAATCCTTATCCTGACCCCTTCTCAGTGCTATATAGACGTAATGGCTTGGAGCTTTCTATTTACATATTATTTTGTTTACATCCAGGTAATTCGTGTGTGTGATTCTGTCAATATTATTACAAGTACCTTACCTTGAGGTGCTTCCGGGGCTTAGCGTCCCCGCGGCCCGGTCGTCGACCAGGCCTCAAGTAATGGTAATGTTTACCACAGACATAATAACAGAGGATAAAAACACATATGTTGTTGTGTTATATCAACATTTGAACTACTCCAATTCTTAATGAAGTCGTTCGCACTCTAATTGCATTATCAAGGTCGTTAAGTCATAAGTCTCGTCCTAAATATATACTCAGATCTTGATCATGCACTCAAGAGAGTACGAAAGTGTTCAGACTTGGTGTGGGTTCGAATCTTGACTTAAAATACACAACTTTTTAAGTGTGGGTTTATATAAAAAGTTATTATAATTAGATTACAATTTCTCCATGTTTGTCAGTGAGCAGTTTCTCTGTTCAGTGTAAAGTCCAATTTCAGGCGTTTTTGTGTCTTCATTTTCAAAGCATTTTATAATAATTTGTCACTTGTCAGTCACTTCTCAGCCATATTCCAGTCACTTTACAGTTATATTCAAGTAATTTTCCAGTCATTTATAGATATTTTCAAGTAATTTTCCAGTCATTTATAGATATTTTCAAGTAATTTTCCAGTCATAGACATTTTCAATTAATTTCCTAATAATTTATAGATATTTTCAAGTAATTTTTCCAGACATTTACCAGATATTTACCAATTTTTTACAGTCATGTTTCAGATATTTTACACTTACGTACCAGTCATTTAAGAGTCAATTTCTAATCAATGTTTCATCCGATCTAAAGTCCTCCCCGAGAGTGTGTTATCGGGGTCTCCGTTCTGTTAAGCAACGTTCTTCATGTATTATTCTGTTCTCCAAATCCCACCAGCACAATGACCGCTTAACCGAATCTCTAAAAACCATCAGAAACATGAAGTCTTAAGCGAGTCACTGGAACACAAGATATAACGACCGCTTAACCGAATCACTTGATAAGATGAGCTCAACGGCCTCTTAGAGTTACGAAGTTCTTAATTTAAACTTAACATATATAATAAACTCTCAAAAAGTCAGACTTAAGAGCTCGACCCGAGCATCGTATACGTCTTAAGATAAAGACTGGTGCTGCAAACGTCTGAATTGTGACGTACGAACGTTTAAACAATAGCAGTCACGTGTGTTTGTTTGTTTGTTGTTGATGAAGAGAAACGTTATTGTTGACATGTATACATCAACGTTTGTATGTTGTCATGATAGTGATGCTGTCATGAGAGTGATGTTGTCATGATAGTGATGTTGTCATGACAGTGGAAGCGATGAGTCACAATAACGTGGCTAAAGTATGTTGACCAGACCACACACTAGAAGGTGAAGGGACGACGACGTTTCGGTCCGTCCTGGACCATTCTCAAGTCGACTGTGAATGGTCCAGGACGGACCGAAACCTGGTCGTCCCTTCACCTTCTAGTGTGTGGTCTGGTCAACATGACAGTGGGAACAAGTTAATGGGAAGTTAAGGGGAACTGTCAGCAATTTCGAACACATCATTCTCCTGATGTTCTCATAAAAAACGGGAGGTAGAATACAGCACTAATTATTTTAAAATAATATGTTTAATTTATAAACCTAAATTGAAAAAAAAATACTCTAATTTTGTAAACAAAACGTAAAATTGCAAGAGTGAAAAAAATACTTAATATACACCAGTTCTGAAAAGCAATAAAAACAGCAAAATAACGCCGGTTTAAATGAACAAATCCACAAGGGCCGTGACGAGGATTCGAACCTGCGTCCGGGAGCATCCCAGACACTGCCTTAATCGACTGAGCTACGACAGGGTAAAAGGGTTGAAACCGAAGTTCTACTGAACTTATTGGATCCCGTAGCCTCTCCGAGGCTAGATAATATTGCCGGTTTGATAGCAATATTATCAACGTGGTTAACATGGAAACAATTCACTTGTGCGTACTACGGGCTCACCATAGCCCGTGCTGCTTGGAACTTTTTGGTTTAGGTAGTAAGTCTTAAACAACAACAACAACAATTCACTTGTAGTCAGCCTTGAAGTATATAAAGTATTGGCAAGTGCATGTATCCACTTAAGGTAACAAGTACACATCTCTTAAGTGACCACTTAAGTGTATTGTGAACTCTATGGAGTAAACACTCAACATTAACGGCTGTAAGTGTCTTGAAACTTGAAACTTGAAACTTGACTGATTGTAATTGTTTTAATCACGTTCTTAACAATCCGAAATCCGGATTGGTCTTCTGACCAACACAAACTAACAACTAACACGAATGTTCTGTAAATAATCCCAAACAATGGGCAGTGTTTCTTTCACCCTTTCACCCCTGTTACCTAGCAGTAAAATAGGTACCTGGGTGTTAGTCAGCTGTCACGGGCTGCTTCCTGGGGGGTGGAGGCCTGGTCGAGGACCGGGCCGTGGGGACACTAAAAAGCCTCGAAATCATCTCAAGATGACCTCAAGATAACCTCCGTGAATCCGCTGACTGCTGAGAACGCTTAAACGAATTACCACCAACCAGCGGAAGACTGGAGAATAAAAACAAATTCGCGAACGATTTGTTATGCTTAAGCAAACTGTTGTGACACTGAAGCGACTGGAGCTGAGAGGACTTTAGGACCCGGGAACGACAGAGAACATTCAGAATCATCATTTTAGGACATGTAAACGACATACGATATTAAAACTCATCATTTTAGGACATGGACACGACATACGATATTAAAACTCATCATTTTAGGACATGTAAACGACATTCAATTGAACTGTACGATAGACGACTCATAAAGATACGATAAGACTCATCATTTTATGACATGCGGACGACAATTCAGACTCATCATTTGATGACGCAAACGACCAATAACATTCCTAAGCCTCAGTCCTACGACTAACCAGAACGCGCGCTTTTCAAGTTTGTCGACGGAACGCAAATCTGGACGAGAGCATTACTGGGCGGTCTGGCGTCGAGGACGAGCAAGGGAGACGAGGCGCGCACGTAATATGTATGGAAACATGAATTTAGGGTCGGCATGGCTAAGAGAAATGCGTTGGTACATGGCTGGTACATGTGTTTGTCGGGCAGCGGGGCGGTCTTGTCGGCGGGGGACGGCGGCGGCGGGCAGGCCGGGGGCACGATCACTAAACATGAGTTATACGGCGAATGTGAAGTGTTTGTGTCGGTTGTTGACTGTGGGAGGGGTAGTGGTGGTGGGTGTAGTGGTGGTGGTGATTAGTGGTGACGGTGATTAGTGGTGATGGTGATTGTAGCGGTGACGGTGACTGTAGCGCCGGTAGTGATTGTAGCGGTTACGGTGACTGTAGCGGTGACGGTGACTGTAACGGCGGCAGTGATTGTAGCGGTGACGGTGACTGTAGCGGCGGCAGTGATTGTAGCGGTAACGGTGACTGGAGCGGCGGCAGTGATTGTAGCGGTGACGGTGACTGTAGCGCCGATAGTGATTGTAGCGGTGACGGTGACTGTAGCGGTGACGGTGACTGTAACGGCGGCAGTGATTGTAGCGGTGACGGTGACTGTAGCGGCGGCAGTGATTGTAGCGGTAACGGTGACTGTAGCGGCGGCAGTGATTGTAGCGGTGACGGTGACTGTAGCGCCGGTAGTGATTGTAGCGGTTACGGTGACTGTAGCGGTGACGGTGACTGTAACGGCGGCAGTGATTGTAGCGGTGACGGTGACTGTAGCGGCGGCAGTGATTGTAGCGGTGACGGTGACTGTAGTGGTGACGGTGACTGTAGCGGCGGCAGTGATTGTAGCAGTGACGGTGACTGTAACTGTGACGGTGACTGTAGTGGTGACGGTGACTGTAGCGGTGACGGTGACTGTAGCGGTGACGGTGACTGTAGCGGCGGCAGTGATTGTAGCGGTGACGGTGACTGTGACGGTGACTGTAGTGGTGACGGTGACTGTAGCGGTGACTGTTGCGGTGACGCTGACTGTAGCGCCGATAGTGATTGTAGCGGTGACGGTGACTGTAGCGGCGGCAGTGATTGTAGCAGTGACGGTGACTGTAACTGTGACGGTGACTGTAGTGGTGACGGTGACTGTAGCGGTGACGGTGACTGTAGCGGTGACGGTGACTGTAGCGGCGGCAGTGATTGTAGCGGTGACGGTGACTGTAACTGTGACGGTGACTGTAGTGGTGACGGTGACTGTAGCGGTGACGGTGACTGTTGCGGTGACGCTGACTGTAGCGCCGATAGTGATTGTAGCGGTGACGGTGACTGTAGTGGTGACGGTGACTGTTGCGGTGACGGTGACTGTAACTGTGACGGTGATTGTAGCGGTGACGGTGACTGTAGCGGTGACGGTGACTGTAGCGGTGACGGTGACTGTAGCGGTGACGGTGACTGTAGTGGTGACGGTGACTGTAGTGGTGACGGTGACTGTAGTGGTGACGGTGACTGTAGCGGTGACGGTGACTGTAGTGGTGACGGTGACTGTAGCGGTGACGGTGACTGTAGCGGTGACGGTGACTGTAGTGGTGACGGTGACTGTTGCGGTGACGGTGACTGTAGCGGTAACGGTGACTGTAGTGGTGACGGTGACTGTAACTGTGACGGTGATTGTAGCGGTGACGGTGACTGTAGCGGCGGCAGTGATTGTAGCGGTGACGGTGACTGTAGCGGCGGCAGTGATTGTAGCGGTGACGGTGACTGTAGTGGTGACGGTGACTGTAGCGGCGGCAGTGATTGTAGCGGTGACGGTGACTGTAGTGGTGACGGTGACTGTAGCGGTGACGGTGACTGTAGCGGTGACGGTGACTGTAGTGGTGACGGTGACTGTAGCGGTGACGGTGACTGTAGCGGTGACGGTGACTGTAGTGGTGACGGTGACTGTAGCGGTGACGGTGACTGTAGCGGTGACGGTGACTGTAGTGGTGACGGTGACTGTAGCGGTGACGGTGACTGTAGCGGTGACGGTGACTGTAGCGGTGACGGTAAATGTAACGGTGACTGTTGCGGTGACGGTGACTGTAGTGGTGACGGTGACTGTAGCGGTGACGGTGACTGTAGTGGTGACGGTGACTGTAGCGGTGACGGTGACTGTAGCGGTGACGGTGACTGTAGCGGTGACGGTAAATGTAACGGTGACTGTTGCGGTGACGGTGACTGTAGCGGTGACGGTGACTGTAGCGGTGACGGTAAATGTAACGGTGACTGTAGCGGTGACGGTGACTGTAGTGGTGACGGTGACTGTAGCGGTGACGCTGACTGTAGCGGCGGCAGTGATTGTAGCAGTGACGGTGACTGTAGCGGTGACGGTGACTGTAACGGTGACGGTGACTAACGGCGGCAGTGATTGTAGCGGCGACGGTGACTGTAGCGGCGGCAGTGATTGTAGCGGTGACGGTGACTAGCGGCGGCAGTGATTGTAGCAGTGACGGTGACTGTAGCGGTGACGGTGACTGTAGCGGCGGCGGTGATTGTAGCGGTGACGGTGACTGTAGCGGCGGCAGCGATTGTAGCAGTGACGGTGACTGTAGCGGTGACGGTGACTGTAGCAGTGACGGTGATTGTAGCGGTGACGGTAACTGTAGCGGTGACGGTGACTGTAGCGGTGACGGTGATTGTAGCGGCGGCGATGCATGGGAAGGCGGTAGTGGAGTAGGAGCGGTGATTGTAGGTGGGAGTGGGAGGGGGGATGGATTGTTATAGCGGGGGTTGTTAACTATGCAGACGTTTCGGTCATACAGGCGACGGTGACGGAATTAAAATTGGTGGTGAAAGCAACGGTGAAAGCACGGAGGCGGCTGTGAAAGCAACGAAGGCGGCGGTGAAAGCAACGGAGGCGGCGGTGAAAGCAACGGTGAAAGCATGGAGGCGGCGGTGAAAGCAACGGAGGCGGCGGTGAAAGCACGGAGGCGGCGGCGAAAGCACGGAGGCGGCGGTGAAAGCAACGGAGGCGGAGGTGAAAGCACGGAGGCGGCGGTGAAAGCAACGGAGGCGGCGGTGAAAGCACGGAGGCGGCGGTGAAAGCACGGAGGCGGCGGTGAAAGCAACGGAGGCGGCGGTGAAAGCAACGGAGGCGGCGGTGAAAGCAACGGAGGCGGCGGTGAAAGCAACGATGAAAGCATGGAGGCGGAGGTGAAAGCTACGGAGGCGGCGGTGAAAGCACGGAGGCGGCGGTGAAAGCACGGAGGCGGCGGTGAAAGCAACGGAGGCGGCGGTTAAAGCAACGGTGAAAGCACGGAGGCGGCGGTGAAAGCATGGAAGCGGCGGTGAAAGCATGGAAGCGGCGGTGAAAGCAACGGTGAAAGCACGGAAGCGGCGATGAAAGCAGCGGTGTCCTTAACTAGCCACTGACTAATATAGTAATTAACTACAATACGGTTGTTAACTAGATCACTGTCACTCTTAGTTTGTTTTTAATCTAACCAATATTCAACCACACACTCGTATTGACTAGTTAACAATCACTAACAACCACACTTGTATTAACTACCGTACAGCAGGATCTTCATCACTGACGAGGGAGTTGTTCCAACGATACGAGGTTCCTGTCTCACAATCCGCAGTAACTTGCGACGTCGTAGATGCGCAATAAATCACGACGTCGTAGATGCGCAGTAAGTTACGAGGTCGTAGATGCAAGCAAAGCGACATCGTTGACTCCTGATGAAAGAGTCAACAGGATAAATTCAATAATTATATGAAGAAAAAAACTTGCAAAGCAGAATGGGGTTTATCATTTTTATTTTAGCGTTTGCGAACCAGAGACCACAAAAGCGGCAGCTCCGCATCTCTACCTACTGCGGTACCTGTTGTTCCAGCCTCTGATGGTCCAAGTGAATGAAAAGAATGGGTACAGAGGCCAGAAATGGCGATGTGCAGCACAATGCCCCGCATCTCTTCTGACCATATTAAAAACATTTTTTTTTAATCCAGTTTGATCAGAACCTTTTCGTTGGGTATGTTCGTGCTGCATGGGCAGCCGCTTCACAGCCTATGGGGAGCCCAAATCCTAGCTGAATAGGTTTCAGCAATTCAGCAGCTTGCTGGCTGACAGCCCTCGTGGCAGCCTTGGCAACCAGGCGTCGGAGTGTTGCCAACAGCGATTGGTCTGATTCCCCCCCATCATTCATGTAGAGAGCACAGAGGGAGGCACCAGGAAAAGATGGACCTGATGACCTACTCACCTGATCACTCTACTCACCATGAGCGTGCAACCCGTTCTCGCACTTGCTTACGGTCAATATTGGCTTATTTAATAAGTGCATATGTGACATACTAATTGATTGTGAACATTTTTGTTTACCTTGAAAAGCTTCATAGAAAACACCGACCTCACCTAACCTTCTTAGTATGTTAAGATAAGCATCTTATTGCTTCATATTTACAATTATTACTTAACCTATCAACGGTATAGGTTAAGTAATAATTGTAATTAAGAAGCAATAAGAGCGTGAGAACAAGACCGGAACTTGAAGATGCCAACACTGCCCACTACACCTAACTAATCTTTGTATGTCCTTCTAACCTTTACTCCTTACTCCTCATCTAATTGTATGTATAGGTTATTGACCTATACACAACGAAGGCGGCGGTGAAAGCAACGGTGAAAGCAACGAAGGCGGCGGTGAAAGCAACGGTGAAAGCATGGAGGCGGCGGTGAAAGCAACGGAGGCGGCGGTGAAAGCACGGAGGCGGCGGTGAAAGCACGGAGGCGGCGGTGAAAGCAACGGAGGCGGAGGTGAAAGCACGGAGGCGGCGGTGAAAGCAACGGAGGCGGCGGTGAAAGCACGGAGGCGGCGGTGAAAGCACGGAGGCGGCGGTGAAAGCAACGGAGGCGGCGGTGAAAGCAACGGAGGCGGCGGTGAAAGCAACGGAGGCGGCGGTGAAAGCAACGGTGAAAGCATGGAGGCGGAGGTGAAAGCACGGAGGCGGCGGTGAAAGCACGGAGGCGGCGGTGAAAGCACGGAGGCGGCGGTGAAAGCAACGGAGGCGGCGGTTAAAGCAACGGTGAAAGCACGGAGGCGGCGGTGAAAGCACGGAGGCGGCGGTGAAAGCATGGAAGCGGCGGTGAAAGCATGGAAGCGGCGGTGAAAGCAACGGTGAAAGCACGGAGGCGGCGGTGAAAGCAACGGTGAAAGCACGGAAGCGGCGATGAAAGCAGCGGTGTCCTTAACTAGCCACTGACTAATATAGTAATTAACTACAATACGGTTGTTAACTAGATCACTGTCACTCTTAGTTTGTTTTTAATCTAACCTATATCCAACCACACACTCGTATTGACTAGTTAACAATCACTAACAACCACACTTGTATTAACTACCGTACAGCAGGATCTTCATCACTGACGAGGGAGTTGTTCCAACGATACGAGGTTCCTGTCTCACAATCCGCAGTAACTTGCGACGTCGTAGATGCGCAATAAATCACGACGTCGTAGATGCGCAGTAAGTTACGAGGTCGTAGATGCAAGCAAAGCGACATCGTTGACTCCTGATGAAAGAGTCAACAGGATAAATTCAATAATTATATGAAGAAAAAAACTTGCAAAGCAGAATGGGGTTTATCATTTTTATTTTAGCGTTTGCGAACCAGAGACCACAAAAGCAGCAGCTCCGCATCTCTACCTACTGCGGTACCTGTTGTTCCAGCCTCTGATGGTCCAAGTGAATGAAAAGAATGGGTACAGAGGCCAGAAATGGCGATGTGCAGCACAATGCCCCGCATCTCTTCTGACCATATTAAAAACATTTTTTTTTAATCCAGTTTGATCAGAACCTTTTCGTTGGGTATGTTCGTGCTGCATGAGCAGCCGCTTCACAGCCTATGGGGAGCCCAAATCCTAGCTGAATAGGTTTCAGCAATTCAGCAGCTTGCTGGCTGACAGCCCTCGTGGCAGCCTTCGCAACAAGGCGTCGGCGTGTTGCCAACAGTGATTGGTCTGATTTCCCCATCATTCATGTTGAGAGCACAGAGGGAGGCACCAGGAAAATAGGGACCTGATGACCTACTCACCTGATCACTCTACTCACCATGAGCGTGCAACCCGTTCTCGCACTTGCTTACGGTCAATATTGGCTTATTTAATAAGTGCATATGTGACATACTAATTGATTGTGAATATTTTTGTTTACCTTGAAAAGCTTCATAGAAAACACCGACCTCACCTAACCTTCTTAGTATGTTAAGATAAGCATCTTATTGCTTCATATTTACAATTATTACTTAACCTATCAACGGTATAGGTTAAGTAATAATTGTAATTAAGAAGCAATAAGAGCGTGAGAACAAGACCGGAACTTGAAGATGCCAACGATGACATCACTGCCCACTACACCTAACTAATCTTTGTATGTCCTTCTAACCTTTACTCCTTACTCCTCATCTAATTGTATGTATAGGTTATTGACCTATACATACTAGGTTATATGTATAGGTTATTGACCTATACATACTAGGTTATATGTATAGGTTATTGACCTATACATACTAGGTTATATGTATAGGTTATTGACCTATATATACTACCTTTTACTCCTCACCTATTTGTATATACCTGACCTCCCAGTGGTATTACTCACCAAGATAATGTTAATAAAACAAGATTAAAACCAGTGCACTAAAACAGAAGCGACACATAAGCAGGGAAAAAGGAGAAGTCCTCTCCTCCATTTTAAACTTAGACCCAAATATCACAGGAAAAAGGTTAACATGTATAACCAAACTCAATTACGGGCTCACCATAGCCCGTGCTACATGGACACTTCGTCCTGAGTAACTAAATCTTTAACAACAACAACATATTCAATATATAAACCTACATATATGTATATATATATATATATATATATATATATATATATATATATATATATATATATATATATATATATATATATATATATATATATATATATATATATATATGACAATGTCAGACCACGGAGGAAAAATGAAACAGGAAATTTCCTTAAGTACTTTCGTATATTAAATACATCTTCAGAAGGTCAATTTTTTGACATTGTCACATTCTTAATCACGTGTTTATTTTCGTGATATACATATATATATATATATATATATATATATATATATATATATATATATATATATATATATATATATATGTAACAGGGTCAAAGGCTTCTGTTAGTTGTGTCAAAGAACTTCAGTAGTTTTATCAGACATGTCTTGCCTTCAGTGAACCATTAATGAAGTTTTCTCGCAAAATTTCCCGTGTTCTTAACATGATGTAGATGTCATCGATAGATGCTTGAAGTTTAGTGAATGCTGCTGTTGTTCCTTTTTGAATATAGGTATAATATTCGGAGTCTTCCACCTGTCCGGTAGTTTTCCCTTTTCATGAAACATTATTGAATATTACAAGAGGTTTGCGAGGAGCTTCAGCGCATTTTTTTACCAGCCATGAGTCTGTTGTGTGGAGGTGTGGCTTACACCATGTGGAGGACATTATTATGTTCACTCCCCCTCACATGGTGTGAGTCTCTCCCTCACTCTCACTCACCCTCTCACTTACCCTCTCACTCACTCACTCACTCACTCACTCACTCACCCTCTCACTCACTCACTCACTCTCCCTCACCCTCTCACTCACTCACTCACTCTCTCACCCATTCATTCACTCACTCACTCACTCTCCCTCACCCTCTCACTCACTCTCTCACTCACTCAAGAACGTCCCATTCTCTACCTGTGGCAGGTGCTCAGACTCTATAGGTTGTAGGCTTCCTGTTTAGCCTTACTACTCCCCCCCCCTCCCCACCCCTGAAGCCTCCGGCGGCAATAAAGTGCCACACTCCCAACGGTGCACCTCCGCTGTCATTTTTAACTGCCACCTCTATCTTTTACCGACTTTTTAATCCAGTTACGTATAGTGCTTGCTAATTAAATTGATATTTTACGGCAATTTTTTTTTTAATATTCTCACAACTATTTTCACCCAAATACTTTCACTCTCTCCAAAGACATTAAAGAACAATAAGAGAATTAATCAGAGTTTTCTCCAACGCCTTCATGCTATTTAAGGGAAGTTAATTAAGTATTTTATTAGTTTTAATCTGGTGAATTATTTTCAATGTTCCAGGGATTTTTTTTTTTTTTT